AGAGACAGAGTGGGGGAGCAGAACAGGCAGATCAACGAAGTACACTGCTGAGGGGTGCAGCGGGCGGGTCAGGAGAGGCCTGCTGAGCCATGGGGTCAGCTCCTGGGCCCGGGATTGAACTCTCAGTGAAGCAGTGGCAGATGGCTTGCAGTGCTGCGTCCTAACCCTTTGCGATGCCAGAGAGGGCCCTTTTTCCCCATTCTATGGGTTGACTTTTTACTCTGTCAATAGTGTCCTTTCATGCAGAAGTTTGAGTTTTTTTCTTTTTTTTTTTTTAATTTTACTTCTTTTCCTGAGGTGGCATTGATTTGCAGCACTCTATGTGACTTAAGGCAATAGGCTCACACCTTCTAGATGTATAGTATGTATGCAGTACCACCTCACACCCAGACACCAGGTTCCTTTACGCCCAGCCACTGGCCCCCAGCCCTGCCCCACCGCATCCTCCCTCCCTTCCTAAATATCCCCAATTCTGCAGTCATATTTCTAGGGTTTATTTGATTTCATTTTGTCAGATCCTTTTTTTTTTTTTAATTTGCAACTTTGATGAACTTCAATTTGTTTCCTTATTTCCTGTGCCTTTTGGTGTATATTCATGAACTCAGAGCCAGAGGCAGTCTCATCCCCCAATGTTTTCAGAGATTTATCATTGTAGCTTTCCCTTTAGATCATCTAATCCATTCTGGTGCAATATTTGCTGCTAATATTTAGATGTAGTGTTAATATTTGGATGTGTGTACACTTACTCTTTTGCACGAGGGTATCACTTTCCCAGTACCATTTGTTGAAAAGACTGGCCTTTTCCCATTGAATGGTCTTGGCAACCTTGCTGAAACTCCTCTGACTACAGACATGAGGGTTTATTTCCAAGTTGAATTCTTAAGTCTGACAGCAGTCCTCAGATGTGATGATGCTCTCTCTCCGCATATCTGGCTCCACGCTAGGAACTCGCCCTTCACAGCTCCTGGGCGCTAGGTGCTGATACTACTCCCGATTGACAGATGAGAAAACTGAGGCATAGGAGGCAACATCGGAGGTCACGGGGCTGGGACCAAGGCAGGCAGTGGACCTCAGAAACTGTTCCAAAGTGACATTATAGTCTTTGAAGACACCACTGTATCCATCTACACCCAGCCTAAGACATTCCTATGTCTAAAATAGCTTCTTTTGCAGTTAGTTTAGGCTTTTTGAACCCACAGTTCAGTAGGGGTTTATTTTGTAGAGTGTGAAGAGGGTGAAGTTGACATTGGTTCTGCGAGCCGAAGGTGCTTCTGGGGAGCCAGGAGGGCTTCACGGAGGTGGTAACATTTGAGTGTGGGTGAGGAGGGGGATGGGCAGAGGGGATCAAGCATGCAGTCTGGAAAGGGCAGGAATTGTGTGAAGGTTGTGATTGGCAGAACAGTAGGAGGCGCTGCTGTGGGTGCTGGGACTATGAGAACCCTGAGGGCCATCCTATTCTGGAACCTTGACCTTTAGGCCAGTTAGGAGGTCTTGATGAGACTGTCAGTCTGGGAGGTCACTGCGTGGAGGAAGGCGTGGAGAGGATGACTGGTGCCTCCATGAGGGGGGCTGTAGGACCAGCAGGAGCCGTCCAGGCCTCACTGGTAGACTTTGAGGGTCACTGGATGTGGGCGAAGAGGGTACCAGAATGACCTGCGTGGCCATTAGTGTAGGGTGAGCCTCTGCTGGGCCTTGATGCCCTTCCTGGCCGCCCTGGTTTTCTCCCTGTTCACCCTCCTTCTCTGGCCCAGGTGGTGATGAAGGTGGTGCAGCTGCTGCCCGATGGACACCGCGTGAAGAAGGAGGTGGACGCGGCACTGGACACTGTCAGCGAGACCATGACGCCCATGCATTACCACCTGCGGGAAATCATCATCTGTACCTATCGCCAGGTGAGCCCACCCAGGGGCCCTCTCTGGGGCACAGTCCAGACTGCGGCTGACAAGGGGTGAGGAGATGGGGGGCCCCCAAGGGACCAACACATGCTCTCGATCACTTCTTTGACCCTGGAAGGGGGGCTGATCCCTGGAAGGGAAGCATGTCCAGCCCCACCTCACCCAGCTCGATGTGCTGTGAGCAGGGGTGGTGCTCACAGCATTGAACAGCGGCTGCTGCCCTGGGACCATGTGACCAGTATGAATGGACACCCTGTGTCCATCCGGGGACCCTGTGGTGTTAGGCATGAACCTTCCAGTTTCTGGGTCTGGGTGGGGGGCTCTGGGACTCCCAGGCAGGAATCAAGTTGGTGAGTGCGTCCTTCCGTCCAGCAGGGTCTGGACTGGGATCTTTAATGAGCACAGGGAAGCGTTCAGAGTTTAACCAGGGATACTACCCGGCTGTCAACCCAGGACCTGTGGACCTGTGCCCATTCACTCTGCCCAAGGTCCTGCTCAGTTAAAAATTGCTTTTGAATAGCTCATTAAATTATAAAAATCAGAATGTTCCCATAGGAGTCTGGATTTCTATAAAACTCGAATTTTCAGCCTGTGTAGAAAAATGTGCCCTCCTGCCAGTCGTGACCCCAATATTCTGTCACATGCTTTGCCCACCGGCCACTCTGGTCACTGGACTTGTGGTCTCTGTAGGGAGATACTGACTCACCTAATTCTGGTCTTCTCTGGCCTGGTGAATTCTGACTGGCTGCTGGGGCAGAGGAGGGGGTTGGAGTGGGAGGGAACAGCTGTGTTAGAACACTCCAAAGTGAGTGAACACTTCTGGGTGCTGACCTGTGTTCTCTGATGCTGACCAGCATTTTCCAATGACAAGTTCTGCCAGGGAGGGGCTGCTGCAACCCAGCCATGATCCTCCTGCAGCCAGGCACAAGTTGCTGAAATGGCTGGTCCAGGCCAAATCTTTGCTCAAGGTCATGGATCAGACCTTGACTGAAGCAAAGTATGGTGTTTGGCAGAGGCAGGTTATCTGGGGTCAGGTCAGAGGCCAGTTAGAAGGGGAGTTTGCAGGAGTGAAGAGGCTGCCAAATGTGGAGTAGGGAAGGTGGTTAAATAGTTTCAGAAAATGGTCTTTCCTGAACTTTCCCCTGGGCCAGTTACATTTGGGTGTTACGCCTGCTGGTCTCCTGTAGTGCCACCAGGTGGCAGCAATGAGCTAAGAACCCGAGCGTTTGCTTTCTTACTACCTAGGACTGAAAACTCGCTGTGGGTAATGTGTGTAGCTGGAAGCCCTGGGAGTTGGAAAGGTTTGTGTACCTGGGTTTCGGAGGCACCAGAGGCTCCCCGCCTCCCACTGGCTGTGTTCTGTTGGCGTCCCCTTTCCCACGTCCCTGTTCTTCCAGACCTGCGAGCTCTTCGCTTCCTTCCAGGCACTTCATCAGATTTTCTTTAGATTATTACATGATGGTTTGTAGTTTCCAGAGGGTACGTTCTGCGTTTCTTTTATTATATTAATTCCCAAGTGTCTCGTTATTTTTATGCTAGAGTAAATGGAGTCGATTTCTTAATTTCCTTTTTTCGTTTCTTCATTGCTACTATAGAGAATTCCAGTTGATCATCTAGCAATGTATTGAGTTTTTACATTGATCTTCTATTTTGCTCTCTTGCAAAACTCGTTTATTCTCTCTAATATATTTTAAGTGAATTCCTTAGAATTTTCTGCATCTAGGATCAAATTAGGTGCAAATCGAAAGCTTTATCACTTCCTTTTCAATCTAGATTCCTTTAATTTGAATTTCTTGCCTAATTACCTTGGCAAGAGCTCCCTGTTGGATAAAAGTAGCAAGACATCTTTGTCTTGTTGTTGGTCTTTGGGGGAAAGCTTTCGTTTTTTTTAACCGTTCAGTGTGACTGTTTGATAATATTTGTCAAGTTGAGGAAGTTCCCTTCCTTTCCTGATTTATCGAGTTTTTGTTCATGAAAAGATGTTGAGTAATGTCAAGTGATTTTTCTTTGTCCATTGAGATGATATGTTTTTTCCCCCTTTATTCTACTGGCATAGTGTATTATGTTCATTGATTTTTGGATGTTAAACCAATCTGGCATTCCTGGGGTAAGTCATACTGGACCACCATGTGTCATCTTTCTATATTACTGAATTTGGTTTGTTGAGGATTTTTATATCTGATTGCTAAGTGCTATTGATTTGTGGTTTGATATTATAAGTTTTATGATCTGCCCTTCTTATGATATCTTTGGGTTTGGCACTAGGGGAGTGCCAGCATAGAATGTCACTTGCTCACTCTTACAGAGGTAGAGACAGAAGCCTGTAGGAGAGAGGGTATCACAGCTGTGCTAGTAAGCTTCAGCTAACATGTCAAAACACCACAGATAGTGTGACTGAAGCAACAGAATTTCATTTTCTCACCATTCTGACTGGAAAGTCCAAGGTCAAGGTGCTGGCCAATTTGGTTTCTTGTGGAGGTAGTCATCCTCACTTGCATGTCATGGTTTTCCTCAATGTGTGTGTATGTGTGAAGTGTTGGGGGATGGGGTGATTTTGGTGTCTTTCTCATAAAGATGCAAATTTTAGAGCTCATCTAATCGGCCATTTCTTAAGTGCTTTAAAGAAAAAAGAGAAAACTAAATGGAACTATAAATATCCTGATCACATAAATTTCTCAGAACCGTTTAAAACAATGGGAAGGACCTTTGTTGGGTTGCCCATGTGTAATTATATTAAGTGTCCATTTTATGGATCTACCATATGACCCAGCAATTCCACTCCTAGGAATCTACCCAAAGGACATTAATTCAAAATATTCAAAAACATTAATTCAAAAGGAAACCTGCACCCCTATGTTTATTGCAGCACTATTTACAGATGTGGAAACAACCTAAATGCCCCCAAACATGACTGCATCAAGAAAATGTGGTATGCATACACCATGGAATAGTACTCAGCAATCATACAAGATAAACTCATGCCATTTGCAGCAACATGGATGGAGCCAGGAGGGATTCTGCTCAGTGAAATAAGTCAGAAGGAAAAAGAAGAATATCTGTTGATATCACTTATAGGAGGACTGGAGGGAAGTCAAACAAAGGGTCAAAAAAAGAGACAAAACTTGTGGGCAACTTGTCTGAGACTTAAAGCAGGAGAGGGGGAGGAAAAGGGATCAAAACAAGGGTGGGACAAGCACAAGGATCATGGTGATGGTGCACAGGTGAACTGGTGGTGGGAGATTTCCCGGGACTACACTTGAGGGGAGTGATGAAAATAAATGTAAAAAAACCAATAAAAGGAAAAATATGTCCATCTTACAGAAAGAAGCAAAAATGTCACAACCCATCTGTCACCTAATGTGACTGGCATTTCACTTCAAAGAGGTTATCTGGTTATCTCAGAGCTGAGGACAGCCCTGGAAAACACTTATGTTTCTATATTCTGTGGGCCTGTAAAATTGACCATGGACTTGGATTTAGGATTTTTAGCTTTTGGCAGCCAGCTTTGTGCCTTCTCCAAGGACACCCTGAACTTGTCCGGCCTGGCCAGGCCCAGAGCTGATGTCCTCACTGGTGTTAGGACTGTCTAAGCTGTCCTAGCTGTATCCACACTGCAGCGGCCTGGCCAGCTTGGGGGTGTGTGTGCCCTGGAGTAAACTTTATTGGGGTCTGAGCATTAGGCCTTGTGGGGATGGAAGGAAGCAGGTTAGATTGTGCTGGACCGATGCGTGGAAGAATGTGAATGTGGGAGTTAGAGGGAGCCGGGCGTCCACAGGGCCATCGTCATCCTCTCTGACTACCTGTGTCCCCCACCCAGGCGGGACTGGCACTGATTCTGGGCAGGGCTGTGCCTGTGCATGGGAAGGACACGGGGTTAGGCAGCAGAAGCCTTGGTTGGCTCAAGCTGAACGCTCAACTGGTGTGAGAACTCCGAGGATCATTCAAAACACCCACCTGGACCCCCAGATTTTGGTATAAAAGAACTTCAAGGAGTCCTTGACTCTCCAGTTCAGATGAATGGGAGAGTGGGTTGTCCATGGTCCCATTGAGTTGCTGGGAGTTCAGGGGATGAGGGTGGGTTGTCTTAGACCCTTTTAACTGAGGAAGAAGCTGAAGTCTGATGAAATCTTTCTGGTCCTGCTGGAGGTAGGACCAGAGCTCATCCTTCCTTTTCCCTGTCGGATCGTCTCAGCACTCTCTCTGCAAGGCCTCTCTCAGGCTGCCTCCTCCACTCTCTAGCGTGTCGGCCTTCTTCCTCATGTGTGTGAGGGCCAGAATGCTCAGGCTACGTAAAAAGCTACCTTGAAAGGGAAAAAGAAAGAGAAAGCCCTTTGAAACAGCATCTCCATGGGGCTGGAATAGAGGCAAGCTGGCTGGGCCCAGGCTGAGGAGAATGGCGACTCCATCTGTCATATTAATGTTTCCTGCTGAGCTTGGAAAAGGAAAATATTTGTGACAGAGACCAAGGTCAGGGCTCCTGGAAGAATCCCCGCTAGAACCAGTAATGCCAGGGGCACACTCCCTTGCCTCGGCTGGTGACATTCTTAGTGTTCTGTATTTAAAAGAGTCTAATGTATCTCCCCTCTGTTCCTCCAGAAAGAGGTGGAAGAAAAATCAAGGTGAAAACAGCTGCTCAGAGGGAAGTAAAATGTCCTTTGGTCTCCAGCCGAGATGCATTTGAAGGCTGGAATACTTGAGCAGGTCTTTGTGGAGATGCGAGGTACATAGGTAGACATGTGCTGGCTTGACAAACACTGCACCTGCTACCTGCCAGGCACTGCCCCAGGTGCGGGACGTACTTTTTGATCAGAAGCTGGAAGTCCCTACTCACACAAGCCTGCACTCCAGCGAGGGAGACATGGGAACAGTGTGTGGGATACTGATGGGTCCTTGTGCTGCCGTTCTGCGTCAGGTCTGGGTCAGGAAGGGGCTCCCTGGGAGGGTAGCATTTGAACACAGATCTGAAGAAGGCGAAGGGAGCCACGCTGACATCCGGGGCGAGTGTGTGTTAGGCAGTGGAAATTGCAAGTGCAAAGGTCCTGAGGTAGGAGCTGCCTGGTGTGTTTGAGGAGACGAAGGGGCAGGAGAGGAGGCCCAGAGGTTACAAGGCCACATGGGCCCTGGCTGGGGGCTTCATGAACCTTCTGCTCTGGGGGCTGGACACTGTGGACACTGGGCTGCAGGGTTATAATGCAGGGTGTTGGCAGAGGAGCTGACTTTATGTTTTAGCAGAGTCACTCGAGTGCCATGTGGCATGTGGAGAGCAGGAGGGGAGTTAGGCTGCTCACAGCACCAAGAGCTGCTGATGAGGTGGTGTGGGCCAGGATGGGATGAGGTGGGCAGTTGCTGGCAGTGTTTTGAGTGAACAAGAGTCCCCTTTGGCCTGCATGGAGGGTTGAGAAAGGGAGAGGTCAAGGGGGGATGTCAGGTGTGGGCTTCAGCGGCAGGAAGAATGGTACTGCCACTAAGAGGGCCCCATGTGTGGGTGGGGCTCTCTGGGAGAGCCAGCAGGCCCATTTGGGGCAGGTCTGTGTCCTTGAGCAGGTGACTGTATGCCCTGCTTGGAGAAGCAGGTGGCACTTGCGTGTGAGCATCCCTCTGTCTCGTCCAGAATGATGTGGGTTCTAGATGACACTGAAAGCTTGAGACCGGAGGGGCTGCCTCGGAACGTGGGCTCGCTGACCCACCAGGCCGGCTGCATAGCAAGACCCAGGACAGGCCGGGTGCCGGTGGAGAGGAACGTGTGAGCCTGGTTCTAACCTGGGGCCTGCTCCTGAGCTTTCTGCGGGCGGGGCCCATCAGGAACCCTTGCCGAAATGGCTCAGCGCCAGAGCAGGGAAGGCTGGGAAGGTCAGGCCGGGGGGCCACAGTGCTGAGATGTGGGCTTGCCTGTGACCTTGAGGGACACCTGGACATGGCAGCAGGCAGAGGGAAGGACACTCTAAGCAGTGGACGGACGGGGCGGGACAAGCTTGGCAAGAATGAGGCCGGGAGTTATACCCCTGGCAAAGGGCGGGGGCAGAGCTGAGATTTTGGAGTTCGTGTCTGGGCTTGGAACCTGTGGCTTTGGGCTGTTGCTTAACCTTGCAGGGCCTTGTTTGCAAGTGTGACATCTGTGTCCATTCACGGGCTTACTGAGGGTGTTGGCGGCTACACCTCTGAAGGCTTGCTCAGCCCGAGGGTGGCATGACCTGTCCAGGAAGGCTCCGGCAGTGAGGGTTCCTGTGGCCCAGAGCAGAGTAGAGTTTTGAGAGCCACTGCCAGTGACACGGGACCTGTTGGTGCCAGGCCGACTGTAGGCTTGAGAGGTGAAATATGCAGCACCTGGCCACCTTTCCCGGGCCCTGCTATTTCAGGGCTCGGTCCCCACGGACTAGAAAGCTTTGTCCTGCTCCACCGCAGCTGATGACAGCCTGGCCTGCCAGGCCATGTAAAAACAGCTCCACTATTTTTATGGACCGGAGGCGCCTGGCCTATTCTTCCCCCCAGTCAGTACTGACACGGGTGATTTTAAAGAAACCGGAGCCTGGATGGGAGATGGGTCATTGTCTGGTCTCAGCACAGACTGTGCTCAGGTAGGATGTGCCCACCCGTGGAGCCTTTTGGGGGTATCAGGCGTCACCTTTACTGGGATCTGAATTTAGAGATACTGCCACCCTGCCTGGCCAGCAGATTCCAGGGAATGACTCAATCTCACCACTCTGGAGATTCCTCAGCTCTAATCCTGCCTGGTTTCTCCCGCAGAAGTTGGGGCGCAGAGAGAGCTGGGCCAGGTGACTGTATCTGTGGGCCAGGCCCAGAGCTGAGGGCTTTTCAAGCCACAGGATTTTCTCCTGAGCTCTTTAATTGAAAGTGGGAGTTGGGAGGCAGTGTAAAGGGTTGGGGTGGTGCCTGCTTAGTGTGGGGCGGCGTGTCTGTCCATCCTGAGGGAGAGGCAGAGTTGTGGATTAGACACAGGTTGTATTTAGGTAAAAATCTTTTTGTTGCTTTTCCTAATTCCTAAACAGACTTGCTTTTAATTTTTTTAACACTGGCTTGGTAAATTCTTTTTTTTTTTTTTTTTAAGATTTATTTATTTATCCATACAGAACTGGGGTACAGGCCAGAGATGCGGAGGGTGAGAGGATTCACCAGAGACAGAGTGGGGAGCAGAACAGGCAGACCAATGAAGTACACTGCTGAGGAGAGCAGCGGGCGGGTCAGGAGAGGTCTGCCGCGCCATGTGGTCACCTCTGGGGCAGGCGGGGATCGAACTCATGTGGAAGTGGCTTAAGCTTCTCAGTGCTGTGCTTTAACCCACTGCACCATTAGGGAGGGCCCTGGCTTGGTAAATTCTTAAAATAATAGGCTTCTTGCCCCTGTGCCTATATCCCAGTCATCTTCCTCCACCAGCTACAGAGCCATTCCCAGCCTCAAATCTTAAGAGGAGCCTTCACTGGCCTTGGCCTGTAAGGTCGGTGCCTGGGTGCTTGGCTTGCAAGGCTGCTGTGGGCCCGGCCTCCTTCCTCTGCCACAAACTCTGCTTCCCGGCTCCCTCCGCATGCCTCTCCCTCCCTCCCTGCCTCTCTCTGTGCCTCCTAATCCATGCCAAACATGCCCTCCGTTCTGATGCCCTCCTGGCCCAGCTTCCTGCCTGCCTGGGTCCCATGGCCGCCTGGCAGTTGTCGTTGGCCTCCTCCAGCGGACGGAAGGTCTGTGTGCCGGCCTGTGCATGCTCACGTCGCGGGTGCTCCTTCCTGCTCCGGACATGAATGAACTGATGCGGCTCCTCATGGTTGTTGCTGCTGTCATACTTACTCTGTGGGCCGCCCTGTTTCTGGGAACTCGGGGACTGGGAGTTTAAATGGCAGAACTGGAACCAGAGCCCAGCTTCCTCTCCCCAGGCATCAGCATGCTGGATCTGGGTCCCTCACCCCTTCTTCTGCCCTGACCCTACCCCAGCCCCCCCTACCCCCAGACCCCCAGGGCCCCATGAATGATGTGGGTAGGCTGTCTGTGAGAGTTCCCCTTCACTCATGGGACCCTAGGAGCCCTGAGGCCTGAGCCCAGGGAGGCAGGACTGGGAGGTGGCAACCACAGGCCCCAGGCAGCTCCCGTTGTTGGGGCTGGGGGCTGCATCACTTCTGGGGTGTGCTGTGTCACATCTGGGGTGGTGCTGGTTGGAGTCTTCCCGTAGTGACCCAGACACATGTGGCCTGACACTGCGTCTTTGCAGGAGGGCTTCCAGCTGTGGCCCAGCTGTCGGGAGACTGTTGTTCCTGCCTCCCAGAGGCCCGACTGGCTGTGCCTTTGCACGGATGTTCCTGGCTCCTAAGGGAACATTCCCTGGGCCTCTTCCTCTTTCTGGAGCAGAGAGAACTGCTGTGGCCCTGTGTGGCCTTGTGGGGTACACAGTGAGTGACAGTGCTCTCTCGCCTGCTCCCCTCCAGGCAGGCGGGCGGGCACTGTGGAGGGTTAGGGAAGCCGTCAGGCGTGGTGTAGACGTGCCACAGGGAAGAGCAGGCGGTGTTCTCGGCCTTGGTTGCTGGCCGGCCTCTGGCCTCCACACTGGGGAGAAGCTTGAGAGGACCCGCCTTAAGTTCCCTTCCTCCCTTCCCTTCATGAGTCTTAATATCTCACTTCTGCCCACAAACCTACAGTGGCTCCTGAATGTTAGCTCCTGGTTAAAACTTGTATCTCTCTTGAAAAAATAGTGACAATGACGAACAGCTATGTACCAGAGACATTTTGTGAGGGTGGAGTGGGGAATGGGATCAAAAACAGAGGGGGGAGGGAAATACACTGGACTGAGGTGAGGGCACATGGGTGATTTGGTGATGGGAAACCCAAGGGGATTGCAACCGAGATGGAAAAATGCACAAACATATGTAAAAATAAATTATATATATATAAACTTGTATCTCTCACTGGTCCTCTACCCCGGGGCCCTTTCTGTGATCAGTCAGCTCTGAAGAGCCACACAGGGCCGTCTGTACCCTTCTACCTCAGGTCCTGAACTGCCTGAGAAACAGGCGAGGCAGTCATGAGGGACCAGAGGGCAGAGGCCAGGCTGGGTTTCTCCCCCTTCCCGGGCACAGAGCAGCTCACCTGTGAGCAGCTGGCAGCTGCAGATCCCAGGCTGAGGGAGGAGAGAGGGCCCCTGCTGTGTTCACAAGCCGGAACCCCTGGGGCTTAGCCTTGCAGACCCTTGTGCAGCCCCCCAGTCCAGGGAGCAGAGCTCTTACCACCCCCATGCCTGGAGGCTGGACTTTCCTCTCGTCCTGGCAGGGTTGGGGACCAGGGAGGTGATACTCTTTCTGGAGATGACAGAAAGCTGGCCAGAAGGCCCCTACCATGCTGTTAGACATGGGCACCCAGCCCAAGGCCTGCAGGCCCCTCTCCACCCCTCAGGTGTGATGGAGGGTGCATGCCTGGAGCTTTCTGCTGGCCGCCTGTCCTTGTTTGGGCTCCCTTTGGAACAGAACAGCGGTGATAATTTCACAAGGAAACGGGCTCAGGGAGGTTGACCACCCAGCTAGGAAGTGGTTTCTGACTCTGGCACCAGTGACCGCTTGACCTTTCGTGTGACCTGGATGGGGCAGTGACCCTCCACTGCCATCTGAGTCCACCCTTCCACCCCTGCCCTGGCGCTGGGGCAGCAGGGACTGAGTGTGGGTGGTGAGTGTGCGTGTGGATGTGCATGCGTGTGAGCGGGGGTGCCTGTGGCGTGGTGTGTTTTATGAGGGAGCAGACCGTGAGAGTATGTGGTGTGTTCTCGCGTGCTGGGTGGGGTGGACCCTCAGACTGACTCCCCCACTGTCCTCCAGGCGAAGGCAGCCAAAGTGGAGCAGGAGGCCCAGCGACTGCATCTGCGAAGTCTGCAGTACCTGGAGCGCTATGTCTTCCTGGTGCTTCTCAATGCTTACCTCCACCTGGAGAAGGCCCAGTCTTGGCAGAGGCCCTTCAGCACCTGGATGCGGGAGGTGAGAGGCGGGTGGCCAAGGCACAAGCAGCCGGCTGCAGGAGGGGCCAGGTCATCCCTCTCGGCTGTTGAGGCTGCCATGTGGCCAAGCTTTTCTTGTGTTTCACTTTGGGGGTTCAGCACTGGGGGTGCACGTGCTGGACCGGAAGTTCACCTAAGTTTGATGAATGACTGCTTGAAGGAGGAGGGAGGGGGCCAGACATGTGGGAAACCTACCAGGTCAGTGTGCCAGCTGCTCCTGCTTTGCGTGTCTGCAAGGTCTATATCGCGGGGCCCGTTAGTGTGCTCAGCCCTCAGGCAAGCTGGTGTGGTGGCCCAGCTTCTGCCCACTGGCCCTGTGACATTCGACAAGGTACCTGGTCTAACCTACTGCCCTCAACATTAAACCGGAAATAATGTTGATACTGCCAGCATGACATCACGAGATCTAGGGGGATTCCATGAGGTCTAGGTTGGGCTGAGCAGGACTGCCTTTGGTGACTGTTGATTCTGTTGTGCTTGCTCACTGTCAGCACCAGAGCGGGGTGCTGGTTCTGCAGCCCCCGTGTTTGTCCTGAGACACTGTCCTTGTCATTGCCCCCAGCCCAGCCTCCAGCAATCCCGCTTGGCTGCCACTGGTTTTGGCCGACTACTGCCTCCACACCTTGGACAGAGGTCAGGAGAGAGGCCTCCTCTTCTTGGCAGAGTGGCCTGTCATTACCCTCCGCCAGGAAGCTGGCCCTCCTGACCTCACCACCCAGTCCTGGCAGTTCTAATCTCGATTCCAGGCTGGAATTAGCTCCCACGGGGCAGGCGGGCAGAGGGTGCATATCCCAGCCAACCAAGGAGGGGAGGGTGTGTGGGGCCTTGGGCATGAGTGGGTTCAGAGCCATGAGGGGGGCCACTACAGTGGCCAGGGGCAGGGATGGTGGTGGCTGGGCACTTGTACTGAAGGTGAGCCTGTAGGGTGGCCCCTTGGGGGTGAGACCTGATGGGGGGGTCAGGACCACCCTTTTGAGCAGCCCTGACTCAGCCTCCCTTTTGAGCTCCTGTGTGGGATTGAGATGATGGGGGAATGAGGACACTTTTGCGGGGTTCTGCTTGGAGAATGAAAATCTGGAATCATGGGTGGGGATGGGGTGCTCTATCCCCTCTCTCCTGGGCATAAGTGGAGGGTAAGGGCTGCCTGGAGACCTTTGTTCTGAGTGGAGCCTTTGCCCTACCCACCCCCAGGATGGTGGGGGGAAGAGGCAGCTTGGCACCCCACTTCCTTATTCTCTGCTGAGTGCAGCCCTCCTCATGCAGTCTGTCTGGGAAGAAGAACCAGGTTCCCGTTAGAAGGAAACTGAAGCTCAGTGCAGCTGCCAGAAGTCAGCTCCAGCGGGTGGCTCAGCTGCGGGCGGGCACTGGCCCCGGTCTGGCTCCAGACTCCCCGAGTGCGATTGTGCAGAGGAGAGCATGGCTTGTGAAGGGGGGAGGGCGACCTGACCCCCCTCACCTGCAGCACCGCCCACCTCTACTTTCCTTCCAGGTGGCATCGAAGGCCGGAGTTTACGAGAACCTCAACCAGCTGGGCTTCGCTGAGCTGGAGAGCGCGCAGGACCAGCCCTTCTCCAGGCTGCGCTGCCGGTGGCAGGAGCAGAGCCACAGCCCCGAGTCCTCCACCTCAGGGGACTTCCTATAGGAGGAGCCCCTGGGCCCGGCTCCTCCTGGGCTGGGGTGCCCCCCACCCCGCTCTTCCCCGGGGGTGGTCCTGAGGAGGATTCCTAGCTTCCCAGAGGGGCTGGGTGGGGACCTCTTTTATGAAAGAGCTTTTTGTGGGACACTTGGCACAGTCACTCCTTGTAAATGACTCGGCCTCCAGGAAGAGAGTGCGTGAGAGAGACGCACACATGCCTTGCAGATGGGCTCTCTGGGCTGACCTTAGCGCCTTCAGGAGCTCACCCCAGATTGCCAGCCATGCCCCCTGCCACTTCCCTCCTCCTCTGTCCCTGTGCAGCAGCTCTGACAGCCTGGTGCAGGGCAGGCTGAAGGTCGTTTCCTTGCCTTTCTGTCCCTCAATGCTGGGCGCCCCGGCTTCCCCCTTTTGCTGTCTGAGCACTGCCCCTGGGCCTTGGCCCCCTGGGGAGTGGATGCAGATTGGTGGGGGTGCCTTGTTACTTTCAAGGCAGCTTTATCCAATTTCCTGCCTCTCAGGCTCCAACTCTGGGTTGGGGACTTCTGTGTGGATAATGTGGCCTGCTGGAGGCCCCTCCTCCTTTCTTCCTCTCACCCTGCCCCGGTGCTGGTAGGACTGTGGAGGTTTCCACAGAGCCAGGGACATCAAGAAGCCCCTCTCAGGAGGAGCGAGCTTCCAGAAAGTGGATGCAATCCTGTGGAAGAGGTCTGCTCCACTTGTGTGAGAGCCTGGGTGTGGCGTGCTGAGGGAGACAGGCTCCACCAGGGAGCCTCCTTCCTGCCCACCAGCCCCAGATGGCTCTGTACCCCCACCCGCTGCGAGCAGGACCCCCAAGGACTGCCAGATGACTCTCAGTGAACAGTGGGGTGTGGACGCAGGACAGTACAGGGGTCACGTGGATTCCAGACCACTCTTGCTGAGCACCCTTGAGTTGCCTTCCAGGTGGGGGCCGGGGGAAAGAAGCGGCATGCACCGTGGAGGTAGAGGCTGACCAGCTCTTGTGGACAGTGAGAGGCGCCCCGGAGAGGCGGGAGAGGCAGTGTTGAGCTGAGCCGTGCACCTCTTCCTCCAGGGCCCCGTGACTGTGAAAACTCAGGTCCTGAACAGTGGGGGATTGCACCCTCCCAGTCTGGTTTGTGGGGCTGGGAGGTTGTTCTGTGGCTAACTTGTGCAGAGAAGCAGGTGATGGTGTTACTGGTCATGATGTTTAGAGAGGGGACGTCTACATTGTCTAGGAAAGTGTTTGACCATCTTGTCTGAATTCTTTTGCAAAACTACTGTATGTCATCTCTTCACTACCTTTTCAGATTTACTGTTGGTATTGTTTTTATTTTTGCATGTATTAAAAAGTTTTAATTTCTTTGCAGACAAGGATGGGGGGCCAGAGACCTGGATGGGGGGCCAGAGGCCAGGGCTGAACTGGGAGGGGGCCTTCGTGTTCTCATGGTTGGCCCTGCATTTCAGCTGTGCTGGGAACACTGACTGGTCACGGCACCTCTCTGCCTCAGTTTCCCCATCTGTAAAATGGGAGAATAATACTTGCCTACCTACCTCACAGGGGTGTTGTGAGGATTCATTTGTGATTTTTTTTTTGTACAGAGCTTTTGAGAATTAAAAATGGCAAAATGTGAAGTGTGCCTAACTTGATTTGTCTGTATTGGGGGGCAGATGGTAGAGAATGGGTGCAAACTGGGGTCCTAGCTCCTTCAGATAAGGGTGAGTGGGCAGAGTGAATCTCTGACTCTTTAGAGAAAAAAATTTTTTCTCTCATCTCATGACACCCTTGCCTCCCCAATCTGCCTTACTTTCTTACTTGGGCTGCCCAGGGATGTCGTGCTCAGCCTCTCTTTGAAGAAAACAACCTCGCAAGCAGGTTCACACTAAAGCGTGGACTGCTGTATCTAGGGAACTGGATTGAGGTGGCATTTCAGATTATTAAGGAAGGCAGAACTCTGCTTCTCTTACACCCTCATGTGCCACTTGGCTCGTTTAGGTCCTTGGGATGGTTGAACACACTTGCATCGAAAGACCTGTGTGTAAAGAAACTATTAAGAGAGAGTAAGGTAAGATGAGTACTGACTGCAGACTTCTCCCCAAGCTCTTGTGGGATTTGGGTTGTAGTGCTAAGGTCAGCTGGGATGGTCAGAATGGAACCACCCTGGTGATCTCACCAGCCTGGGAAGGAAGGTCTCCTGGGTGATCCCCCAGCACAGCAAGGTGCAAGGATGCTCCATGTATCTTGAGTGAGAACCTAGAGGCTGTGCACTGGTGTATGCGTGTGTGCGCATGCGTGCAGGGTGGGGGCAGTCTACCCTTTCTGTCTGGGATAAAGGTCTGGTGTGGATGGTGTGTTCAGGTCATTCTGTAGGGTAAGATCGGCGTCAGTGCAGTGAAGTGCCTGTGTGTGCCTAGCGCAGAAATTGTGGTTCCATAGAGTTGGTTGTTTGAGTTATTTGTTCCTGCAGCTAAGGAGGCCAGCTGAGGTGTTCCCAAAGTAGTGACCTCAAGACAAGAGGTTCCTTAAAAGTCAAGGAAGCTTGGGGTGGAGGGGATTGGAGCTGGGGGTGGAAGATCAGGGAGACCATGGGGAAGGGCTGATTTGGTGTTTTCCCAGAGGAAGCCAGCCCCTGGCTTTGCAAGGCTGAGAAGAGGGTTGGGTCTCCGAGCTCCAGGGTGAGTAGAGGACTAGAGATTGCTGGGGGTCTGAGTAAATCAGTTCCTTCCCCAGGGCCCATGCATGTGAAATTGCTGACTGAGCTTTGCCTTAGCATGTGATTTGTGGGAAAATGAGAAACTTGTGTTTCCCGTCTGCCCTCTGACCTAAGGAGGGTGGCCAGGACAGATACTGAGGTCTGCTGGGACCTGCTCTTCTGGGTCCCTGTGCTGAATTTTTTTTTTTTAAAGATTTATTTATTTATTCATATAGAACTGGGGTACAGGCCAGAGATGCGGAGGGTGAGAGGATTCACCAGAGACAGAGTGGGGAGCAGAACAGGCAGATCGACAAAGTACACTGTTGAGGCAAGCAGCGGGCGGGTCAGGAGAGGTCTGCCACACCATGTGATCTCCAGGGGCAGGCGGGAATCGAACTCATGCAGAAGTGGCTTAAGCTTCTCAGTGCAGTGCTTTAACCCGCTGCGCCACCAGGGAGGGCCACCTGTGCTGAATTTTTTTTAAAAAGATTTATTTATTTATGCATACAGAACTGGGGTACAGGCCAGAGGCTCAGGGGCAGCGAGAGGCTTCACCAGAGACAGAGTGGGGAGCAGAACAGGCAGAGCGACGAAGTACACTGCTGAGGGGAGCAGCGGGCGGGTCAGGAGAGGTTTGCCGGGCCATGTGGTCGCTTCCCGGGCAGGCGGGAATGGAACTCATGCGGAAGTGGCTTAAGTGCTTTAATCTGCTGCAACACCAAGGTGGGCCCCTGTCCTGGCGTTTTACCTGTACATTGTATTTACGATAGGGAGAAGTCCAGAATTAGGCCATTTACAGAGGAGGAAACGAAAGATCGGACAGAAGGCAGAGACCCAAACTAGAGGATTTTGGAAGAAAGAAGAAAATAAAAATCATGTGTCGTGTCAGAAGCCAGATGCCCAACATTCCAGCCTGTTTCCTTCGCTCTGCACACCATCCTGTGCTTTCTATGTGAGTATGCATTCACATCTGCTCTGTGAAACTGGATCCAAAAGTTTGATTATGCTATCTTTTCTTTTACCATGTTGTGACGGTTAGTTTTATCTGTCAGATTTACTGGGCCATGAGGCCCCCAGATGAGTGGTTCACCGTTATTCTGGGCATTTCTGTGAGGGGTTTTTGAATGCGATTAGCATTTAAATCACTAGACTCAGTAGAGCACATTGCCCTCCCTGAGGGTGAGTTGCCAATCAGCTGAAGGCCCAAGTAGATCAGAAAGTCTGACCCTTCCCTGAACAAGAGAGACTTCGACCGGACGGCCTTCTAGCTTGAGCTACATTGGCTCTGAAGATTTTGGGCTTGGCAGTTTCTGTAACTGCCTGGTCAATTTCTTAAAATGAACTGTCAAAGCAACAACTATCTCCTATTGTTTGCTCTGTTTCTCTGGAAAACCCTAACTAATTGACATTTAAAAAAATATGTTTCTCCCTATGCCTTTAGCTTTTGAAGTATTTTAGTAACTACTTAGTGTTTAATTGTGTGAATATTTAATAATTTTTAAAAAACAATTCCTTTACTCTAGGCCCCTTGGGTTTCTTTATTGTTGTTTAGGTCTTTAATTTTTCTTCTGCTATTAAATTTACCTACCCCCAGATGCATAAATCTGACATGTACTGGTGAGTTTTTCTAGAGGCATGCCCCTATGTAACCCAAATCTATCATCAAGATATATACATCCTTACATTTGGGTGAGTTTTTTTTTTTTTTTAAAGATTTATTTATTTATTCATACAGAACTGGGGTACAGGCCAGAGGCTCAGGGACGGTGAGAGGCTTCACCAGAGACAGAGTGGGGAGCAGAACAGGCAGATTGACGAAGTACACTGCTGAGGGGAGCAGCGGGCGGGTCAGGAGAGGTCTGGCTCGCCATGTGGTCTCCTCCGGGGCAGGCGGCAGGCGGGAATCGAACTCATGCGGAAGTGGCTTCAGATTCTCAGTGCTGTGCTTCAACCCGCTGCACCACCAGGGAGGGCCTTGGGTGAGTTTTTAATGTTAACATTTATAAAGAATATTTCAAGGAACATTTTCAAACACAAATATTTGGGCAGGTGATACAATTCCTGGAACTGCATATTACTAAAAATGGCCCCCGTTGGCTTACTCAAAAAAGAGGGTTACAAAAAATAAATAGCTCAGAGGATCCTTACTAGGCATGTGGGCCTTGGGCATTGGGCATAGGGGAGCTGTGCAGGGAAGCCCTCTTTGGTATCCACGGGGTTGTGCAGACTTCCTCTCATGAGAACAGGCACCTTCAGACCCAGCAAGGCAGGTGCCAAGGCCGGGCTTCCCTCACCAGTGCTCAGTCCTCTGGGCTGCTCCCAGCCAACAGTGAGCACTGCCAGGCCCTAGACCCATGGGCTACATCTGCCATGCAGTGTGCCTGCCTCTGCCAGCCTGGCTTCAGCCTCCTCGTGGGCTGGCCCAGAGCCCGTCACACCTACTTAGCAGGGTGGCTCTCCCTCCCTCCCCCATATCTTAGGGTGTTAGACCCAAATTGTGGTCTGAGGGCACTTCCTGCCTTCCTCCTCCTCTTTCACAGAGGCTTCTCCACATCCATCTCACAAACCAATCCTGCTCCACACCCTGCCGCCACCCTGGCTGAGCCCCTCACTCTTGTCTCACTTTGTCCTTTCTGTGAAGTTCAGCCTTCTTTGACTCCGCTTGAAGAAAGTGACGTCCCTAGTTTCCTGTTTTCTAGGTACCAGGCCAGACGAATGACATCATCCTTCCCACGCACCACCCTGCCCTCCCGTCTCAAGTGAGGGGCTGTAGGACCTGTGGGCTGTTGCCAGAGGGATGGGACATTGGAGTTTGATCTTCCCTGTGAATGGGGCATGGGAGAGGATAGAGAAGTTGTAGTGGTCTGGGTTGATGTCTCTAAACCTGCTGTGGCAAGTGTCAACCTCTGTTATTTCTGAGATAAAGGAAAAACTTATGGTAAAGGTTCCCCATGACAAACTTTCAGTTTGTCACCAGAAAGGTCCTATTTTAGATTTCAGACAGTGCTAGATGAGGCTGCTGTTTCACACCTCTTCCCAGTTCTGTGTGATATATTTTTAAACAGTTCTTGCCATTAAATGGCTCAAAATAGCATCTCATAGTTATTTAATTTTATAATTTCATTTGTTTTTTAAAAAATATTTTATTTATGTATGCATACAAAATTGGGGTATAGGCCAGAGGTATAGGGGTAGTAAAAAATCCACCAGAGACAGAGTGGGGAGCAGAACAGGCAGATGGATACAGTATACTGCTGAGGGGAGCTGGGGGTGGCTCAGGAGAGGTCAGCTCCGGGCTGGGGATCGAACTCAAACGCAAGTGAACACAGTCAGCTTCGCAGTGCTGTGCTCCAACCCTCTGCGCCACCAGGGAAGGCCCTAGAGTTTCTTTTAAATTAATAGTGAATTTGGACATTTTTTCATATCTATCGGCCATATATATTTGCTTTTTTTATGAATTGCCTGTCCTTGGCTGTTTTTTTCCTTTGGCTCTTTTTCATTATTATCTTGAAAGGATGACCACTTGATCATCCTTTATTTTAATTTTAAATATCATCAGACCACATGTTCTCTTAGAGCCTGGCCTCTCCATGCCCTGTGCGCTCAGCCTACACTGCCGCACCTCTGTTCTCAGGTTTGTTTTATGATGTTCTCTTACTTTACTTATGACATCTGGCTTTGGGTGCGGCCTACTCATCTAGCATCCCAACAATACCACTAGGTAAGTATTAGGATGACCCCCTTTTAAAAAAGGATTTATTCATTTATGCATACAGAAATGGGGTACAGGCCAGGCATACATACCAGAGGTGCAGGGCGGCGAATGGATTCACCAGAAACATAGTGGGGAGCAGAACAGGCAGACTGCTGAGGGGAACAGCGGGCGAGAGAGGAAAGGTCTGCTGTGCCATGTGGGTCACTTTC